CCCTCTCCCCTCTCCCCTCTCCCCCTCTCCCCTCTCCTCCCCTCTCCCCTCGCCTTCTCTCTCTCTCTCTCTCTCTCTCTCTCTCTCTCAAGAGTCTTTTGTAGAGGACGGCTATAAAACATGGCTATGCACAGTGCTCATGGATGTAACCCAGAACTCTAGAAGCTAAAGCAACCTGATCTCTGAGGCCAGCCTGGTCTACAGAGTGAGTTCCAGGACAGCCAGGGCTACACAGAGAGACCCTGTCTGGAAAAACAAAACCAACAACAAAACAAACAAACAAAGGAGTGGGAATGAAGGGCCCAGTGGTTAAGGCCACTTGCTGCTCTTGCAGAGGATCCTGGTTTGGTTCCCAGCACCGGCATGGCAGTTAGCAACTGCCTGTAACTGCAGTTCCAGGGAGTCCAACATCCTTTCCTGACCTCCACAGGCCCTGCGTGTATGTGGTGCACAGACATATATGCAGGCAAAATGCCAACAGATATTAAAAAATAGGTCTCCAAAGACACAAATAAAATCTTTTTTTAAGGTTTGCAATCGTTTTATTCACGTATATGATTCTGTGTATCTTTGTGAGGGCCTGTGCTTATATATACAATATTTTTTTTAATTTTTTTTTTTTTTTTGGTTTTTTTCGAGACAGGGTTTCTCTGTGTAGCCCTGGCTGTCCTGGAACTCACTCTGTAGAGCAGGCTGGCCTCGAACTCAGAAATCCACCTGCCTCTGCCTCTCAAGTGCTGGGATTAAAGGTGTGCGCCACCACCGACCGGCAATTTTTTTTTTTTAATTGTCAACAGGTCTTTAACCTAGAGGAAATCTCTACTGGAGTCTTTATCTAATCTCCCTTTTCCAATCCAACAAGGTAGTCATAATTTTTACTTTTCTAGATGCTTCCTCACAGAACCTGAAGGGTGCAGACTATTTTCCAGTTACTTCAATAAAAAAGGTAAAATGAATGAAAACAAATATACAGAGAAAGGGAGAAAGCTGATGTCATGGGTATGTGGGGATTAAGAAGGTTCTAGCCCAGAGCCTCAGGCATGCCGGGCAAGTCCTCTACCTAGAGGCCAGTGCCTGTATCCTTAGTCTCGGAGACATCTTGAGTAAGTAGCTGAATCAGAAGACTCTGACCTATCACCACTCTCAGAAAACCTCGAAGGCTCGTATCCCATCAGGTCTTTACTGTGTGAACTCATACAACTTAACAAGCTCAAACATTTACTCCTTAGACCCTGGGGCTCAGAGACATGACAATAAACAGCAGTGTCGAGGTCCCCTCAGTCCAAGACCCACCATTCTTACTGCTTTGGAGCTGCTTCCCCTTTGAATGGAATTTCTGATCTTTTGTGAGACTGTGACAATCTCCACATAACTGGAGTTCCTTTGGAGCTGGAGAGATAGATAGCTCAGTGAATTAGTGCTTGCTGCTCTTCGAGAAGACTGTGGTTACATTCCGGCACTTATGTTGTGTGGCTCATAACCACCTGTAACTCTAGCTGCAGGAGATCCCACACCCACAGCCACGCACACATAAATAAATATAATTTTATATTAGCAAAGAATTCCCTAGGGCTTTGCCTTTGACCACTAGTCTTCTAAGTCATGTGACTCAGGGCAAACCAGGCCTTTTGGGACAGATGGCCCTCCCCTTATGGCTGTTCTAGAGGCATTCATTCCTAAACCATAATTGAATCTTTATTGCGAGGGAACACAATGCCTTTCAACACTTGGCAACAGGCAGTAAGCTCAGGGAGAGGAAGGGCTCCCACCTCAGGAATAAGCCTTCCAAGACACTGCCAGGCCTGACCAGACAGCTAAGAGCTTCTCTCTCAAGATCCTCTGTGCTTTCCCCTCCTGGCCAGAAGCAGGTGAGACTCTGAATCACCAGTGTGGAAGTTTTAATAGAGCCATGTCTCAAAAAGAACTAGAACCCACATTATTAAAATACTCAGGTGGGTCCATTGTCCA